ACACACACACACTATGGAGCACTGTATATGCATTCATGGTTTTCTTTTTTCTATTAAGTGTCCCTATTTACTTATTTCACATGATGTTGTTTTCATCGGTCTTTGCACCCAAATCTTTTCTTTTTACAAAAGAGAGAACAAGCTAGAGAACAGTGCCATCTACTGAATGTCTAGAAGGAAAACTTGAGAAATTTGTGCACAAAATGTTTTTATTTCTTTTGTCTTGTATAAAGATGGGTAAGTGGTTTTCCATTGTTAAGCTTAAATGCCTAGAATTCAAACCCAGTGTTTAACAACATAAAATATGACAGTTTCCATCCTGTTCAAACAAATCTTCTTCAGGCATGAGAAGTTTTTCAAAAGCCATTTAAAATACTGCACATTTTTCATAAGCAAGCATATTTTCCCATTAAACTATCTGTCAAGTTTAACAATTTAATGATTGGAGTTGTTACTAGCATTTCTTAAATGAAGTCTCTTGACAGGACAAGGAAACATTTCAGGGGGAAAAATCATTACATAACTTATTTTTTGTGAACGACAGCCAATAACACAAATCACCTCACGAGGGACATCACAGAAATCAACAGGTTTATATGAATCCCAAATTGTGGCAGCTGAAACAATGAGATCTAAATAATTCCAGAAAATGGATTCAACAGATAGTATTTTTGACACCTCATTGTGTTTAATTAACCATACCCAGATGAATTCAGATACAAGGGAATTACAATCATAACGCTTGTGTTTAAACAGATCTATAGTAACAAACATGAATACATTCATCGATAACTGTAACACTCCAACCTGACATTAGAAATGTCCATTACAGTGTAACAATGCTGCCGTTGTCCTTATTCATTTCTATCATAAATACATGAATAAAGCTTCTGATCAAGCAAAACTACAACTGCTACATACAAAAATAATTACAATGTACCAGCTGTATTACAATGTACCAGTCATATTTGACATTTTATGAGGTCAAATCACTGAGCTATAATCAAAAACCTGAAAGTGTATTTACATTTGAGCTATAGACAGTGAGCACAGATTCTCACACTCCATGAACTAAACTAAACATTTATGTATGGAGTTAAAATAATATTAAAAAATACATGCATAAAAATGCACAAATATTCACACTGTATTTGTGGACTGTATTACGAGTTTACAAAAAGTTGGATAAATGTGCATTTTGACATACATTTGTGCGAGGTTGTGACTCCATATTTTTTGACCAACTAAAAGCATTCAAAATATTCGAAAATAATTCCTGAATAGCATGAAAATCTGTGAGGAAAATCTGTGAAGAAAAAAACCTTCAATCCTTGAAGAGTACAAATCAGTAGCAACCAGTGACAAATGTAACAACTCTCAATCAGTGATGTGACTTTAGAGCCCCTTTTTTTGCCTTGTTGCAATTTGACAAAAGCGGTTTCCTATTAACTAAAGCCCTGGACATAAGGACTTGCAAACAAATACATTTCTACATCTCAAAACACACGAGTAAAACCACAGAGTTTTAACAACAGAACTGTAAAATATTTCAGCTTCATCAGAATGTGCTTAGCAAAACCCAAAATAAAATCCACACCTAAATGTTTAGGAAATTCTAACATAATATTTCCAATGTCAAACTTTTACCTATATGCAAGCCTGCACAAGAATGACATAATACACACACTCCTTTCTAAATGAAACTCCAAAATACATTTTGTGCAAAAGACAAAATTTGGAAAACCTCTAAGTAGTGCTGGGCGGTATACCGGTTCATACCGAATACCGGTGTTTATTTTTGTTATGATATTAACTTTTAAAATACCGCAATACCGGTGTGCATGTCGCTTAAACAACATTCGGAACGCCACACTGTTTGAAAGGGGTCCTTTTTCACTGTTGCACTGTGGTGAGGGAACAGCTGTATGTGTTACTAAGCCTGAAAGTTCCGAAACTGAAGCTGTAGAACTAATAGAACGTGATGAAACAGAAGAACTCATCCACACTATC